CTGCGAGCTCCGACTTGTCGGACGAGAGCGCGTTGACACCGGCCGAGAGATCGTTGATGGTCGTCATGAGCTTCAAGATCTTGTTCTCGAGGCGCAGCTCGTTCGATGCGGCGCGGGCAGCTGCATCGTCGGCTTGCGCTTTGAGCGCCTCGTAAGCCTTGCGTTCTGCTTCAAGCTCTGCGGCTGCGACCAGCTCTGGCGGTGCCGGCGGCTCACCAAGAACCACCTCCATGTCGCTGTCAAAGTCCGTATCTTCGAGAAGCGGCCCATCAAAGACGGCCCACTGACTCCATTCATCGACGTCGCTGCAAGCAGGGCAAACCACACGGCGGCCGCGTACAGCATCTTCGTACTTGTCTCGAAACTCGGCACCCTTGGCGGCTAGCGCCTTCTCGTGCTCGACATGGAGCGCCTGGACGACCGCTTCGTGCTCCGAGGCGCCGGCCAAAGCCGCTTGACGCGCCTCCTCAAGGTTGCCCTTGAGGGCCTTGATGTCGTCGTCGTGCTGCGCTCGGGATGCAGCCAGCTCCGAGCGAGCAAGAGCGAGGTCCGAGGCACCGGTCGCAGTTGCGTGCTCCGAAACTTCGAGTGATTCCTCGAGATGCGCAACGACATCGCGCGAGGCCTGAAGTTGAGTTCCAAGCGTCTCGAGATCAGCGTCGTGCTGGGCATGGGCAAGATCAAGCTCCGAGGTGCGTGTCTTGGCCGTGTCCATCGACGCGTTGAGGCTGGCTTGGAGGATGACGACCTGCGCTTGGAGAGTTGCTACTTCCGAACGCAGCTGACCGAGGATCGCCTCAGTCGTGGTCGTCGATGCCGCGCTAGCAGGCATGGCATCCGTGGTGGTACTTGACGGAGCAGTCGCGACGCTCGTCACCGGTGTGCGACGCTGCGCGGCGGTGGTCGAGGTGCGGCTGCTTGCCGTCAGAGGTTGCACCGCCGTCGTGGCGGGCGTTTGCGTCGACCGAATCGTCGATCGCGCAGTCACCGGGACAGTTGGAGCCGCGCGCTGGCGGACAACCGTCGGGGTCTTGCTGCGCCCGAACGCGGTGGCACGCGAACCAAGGTTCAAGGCCGCCGTCGGGCTTGGCTTCCGCATGAGGGCATCTTCGGCCGCCAACTTGGCATCGGCGAGCTTTGCAGCGCGCTTCTGGTGGTAGAGCGGGTCGTAGAGGGACATGCGAATTCGTTTTCTGAAGCATCAAGATCACTTGCGCCGCCGAGGGCTGTAAAGGCGTTCAAGCCATCGCCGCGCGCCGTGTACTTGGAGTTTGTATCGCACGCTGGAGAGGCGTGATCTGCGAGGCTGCGTCGTGGCAAAGGCGCTCGAAGCGGCGCGCTTTTGCGGTCTCGGAGGCTCCATCGCTCTCGTCGCTCGGGCTGCCACGCTCGGCGTCGCTGGTTCCAAAAAGCCAATGGCCGAAAATATTTTCAAGCCGTTAATTGCCCGTGTGAAAAAGCATTTGCATACGAGACGAGATTGTTCTGTGTTAATTTCCTAATGACGTGGCAGCATACTGTGCCGTTGTGCATACAACACCGATTCAGATTCAGGGAGGGGCTCGGCGGCCGAGACTTTTGCGTCCAGTGGGAGGTTGCGACACGTCTTGCGCAGTATCTTGATCGAGATGCTATCCGGCGGGAGTCGGTGCGGCGAGGCATCGTCGCCGTCAAGGTCCTGCACCACATCCAAGAGGGGGC